CAGTCAATGTATTCTTCGAGTGATTCCAACTTCCCCTCGCTGTCCTCCCTCAGCTCGCTGTTCATTCAGATTCACCCTGTGCTAGGATGGATGGCTGGGACACAACTCTACAAAAAAAAACTGCCCATTTGGCTAAACCAGGGGGGGTTCTATCTACTGAAAAGATCAGGGGCTACGTCACGTTTACCTGAGGCTTGACTTTTTTGTTTTTGGAGGGTAATTTGCATCGGGGTTAAAATACTCGAGGAATACCCCGGACCTAACGGCGCATATGGGCTAAAATTAGGCACAGCTCATATAAGTGAATGTTGCAGATGACTGCTAGCCACATGTAACAACACTGTGCTTTAGCAGCATGCAGAAGGCGTGAAGCTGAGCTTCAGTTCACATACAGCGATGACACGGCATCCTGTTCTGCTGTAGCTGCTAACAACGACTTATGCCTTACATTTGGCTATTCTGAGGCCTCTCCGAACTGAGCCCCTCTGTTCTGTTGGATATGGCTGTGTAGGTACGCGTTATTTATTTTTTAAATAGTAATTTATGCGCAATGCAATACAGAAAAAAGCCGATTTTGTATTTAATAACAAATGTAGGCATACTGTCTGTATTTCCCGAGTAGCATTTTTGCATTTGATAAGTGATTAGTGATTGTGGTGCGTGTCTTTACATTTGGCCACATTTTAGTCCGTCAACATCGTAAATTACGTGGATGACCTCTGTAAAAGTAGCCTAATGTACAATTCAGGGGTGTAAGTTTTATTTTCTCTTTTTGCCTGAAGTTTATATAATGCGGTGTTTGATTTTGATAAGCTAGCATTTTAAGATCTATCTAAACTGGCTTAGTTATATTTATTTAAATGTGTTCTAAACAAGAAACATGGGTAAGTATTTAAATATGATACCTGTAAATGTTCCTGTTATGAAAGGGTTTGACACTGCTACACGGATCGGCAAGCGAAATATACGGAAACGTTTTTTTTTTTTTTAACTACGCGTATAAATCGTTGCAGTAGCTCAAGCTGAAGAATGGGGCGGACAGAAGACAGTCAAAGAGCAAGTTCTGCGAGGGCTGGTGGGCGGAGCGCTGCTGTATCTTACCCCCGATAATTACCCAAGGTATACTGAACGACAGAAAAAGGCCAGAGGTAAGTGTAGCTTTTCAGTTATAGTATAAGAATATTTAGTTCCGTGGTTGGTTTTGTGCTCTTTTACCTGCGCGAGTGTAATGTATGGATCGTGTTACAAAACTTGAAGGTAGACTTTTCAATTAAATACGTTTCAATATGGGTTAAAGGTGATCGTTCAGCCGGCTATTTGCGATAATAGAGAGCTGGCAAAGTATGAAGATGAAGTGAAATGTCGTTTCCGATGACAAACGTGTCCAGCAGATGTGAGGACCTTTTAGAAAAAATGCCTTGGCAGGGACATACGCGGCTGTCACGGAGCTTCTAAAGTCTGTGATTGCAATTGTAAGTTAATGAACGTGAGGCTTCGCTTTGCTTCCTGTATATTTGTGTCTACTGTTATGATAGCATTGCACGCGTCTTCATTCCTGCCAGCAGCAATCGAAGCTCTTCATGAGCTACTTTTATTACGAGTTTCTTACCATTGCAGTACAGTACAATTCCCGAGTTTGAAACGCAGCAAAAACGGGGACTGTCTGCGGGTCCCCAAGGACCGGATTGAGAAACACTGTCCTGGACTATTTGAGTTCAAGGCTGTTGTGGTTCTGAGATTCCCAGTGCAAGAATATTTCCCTATAGTTTTAAGCCAAGCAAGATGGTCTCCCTTGGCCAGGGGCGTCAGAAGCATTTTGAATGTGGGGGGGCCCACTGGCATAAAACTAATATTTTATGTTAAATGTGTGTGTGTGTGTGTGTGTGAAGGGTCCAAATGAATAGTTGTGAAATGTGAGGGGGTCACATCCCCCTCAGATTTAATGGCGGCGGCGCCCAAGCCCTTGGCCCAGTAAAATAAGTCTCTGACCTAAATCTATAGTGTTCTATTTGGCTTCAGGAGGTGTGTGTTATGCCCTAATCCTCTGTTGATAGTCATACATTCTGGTACTTCTTCTGACATGATGTTGACCTCGCACACTCATCACCAGTGGTTGACCTAAACAGAGGTTCACACTGGATTTAAATTGTATGTTTCCACTGCTGAGTAAGCTTTTCGGGCCCGCAACGCCGATCATTGTTCTGTTCCATAACATCCATGCCATGACATGTTTCTGCTCCATAACCTCCTTGCCGTGACGCAAGCGAATAACCCTCAGTGCAGGCGCTGTCCCCAGCATGTGCTTGAAGAATGACCGCTAATGCCTCCTGGGACTCCAGTAGGGGGAGCCAAAGCGCTGCAGGTAGGATTTGTATGTGGATTCAAAACATACAGCTCAGGCACCAGGACGGGGTCAAAATAGCAGCAAATTAACACTTAATGTACAGTCAGGTACCATCAACGGATGGAGTAAAGAGATGCTATCAGTATATTATTTGATACCGTTAGAATATTTTAGAATTTCCATAAGACTGATGGTCCTATGCAGGGGAAGGCGATGGCCTGGTCTCCATCGAATCGAACATTTATCGCAGCCTCCAAACCATTCTCCGGGAGCTGAACAACCACACCTTGACTGTGTCACAAAGTAAAGGTAGGGCCATGTCACCGATTACACAACCTCAGAACTTAGGTTCCTTTGATTTTACGGGGGGATATTACTTGATTTCTCTGTGTACATTATTATCTAAAGTGACTTTCACAGCCATTCTTTGGGGACTCGTAGCTCTATATAGTCATGTTAGATAATTGTAGATAATTATAAATGTAGATAATTATGTTGTTGAATGTAGGACATGAGATTCTTTTGCTCAAAAGTCCAGTTCTGTCGGCATCCCTGCCGGTCATGTTGGATCAAACGGTCTTTTGGTCTGGCATTAGTAACCTTCAGTCAGACAATTAACTGTGCTAGGAGAAGATCAGGGTCCATGCGAAAGCTTATTAAGAGGTAAACATACTTGTGCATCACCGCTTACTCGTGGCTAATGTAAACCATGACTTGCATCATCACTGAACGCTCCTCCTAAAGGAGTACTGAGATGGACACTGCACAAGACAGTTCTGGAGAGTCCCAAGCACTGTGTGCTGCTGGTGAAGATACTTGTGAAGGAACTGGAGAAGGTAGGTGCTTCAATGTGGATGCAGGAAGGAGCTGACAGGTAGGGATGGAGATACCAGACTGTGGCCGGAGCTCAGTGGGGGGCTCAGCAGCATGGTGTAGCTTCAGTGCTATGATGAAGACAGTATATAACAAAATGGAAACATTTTAACGTTTGCTGGGGGGTGGAGGAGTGGGGGTTTGGGGGGGATTATGATGAGTTGTGTGTGCTACCATTGGTGGTCCTACATTGTGTTTTTGTATTTGAAACTACATTACACTTAAAGATACTCATTTTGATTCATAAGGTCCATTATCGGCCGTAATTTACGTTTAAATACGGCCAAAACGATTTGCCTTCTACAAATCTAGTTAAGTTAAAGCAACTTGTATCACTACAACTTTTGAATGGAAATAAAGTAAGAAAATGCCTGATCTTAATATAAACTGACTAGCGATGTAAGAATTATTTTAATATCGCACATCGTCCAGCCCGATAATGCTGTAGCGCCGGCGAGATGCGCAGAGCATGCTGGGACATTGCATTATTAGAACTTGCTGTACATCTTTCGGCCATTCTCCACCAAATCAGGTAATGTACGTGCTTTTGGTACCACAAAGCGTTGGTTTTTTCTGATCATAAAAACAGATACTGAAGCAGAACAACTAGACACGCAGCTCGCAGGCAAGAGAGAAGTCTTTGTATTGAGTTTCTAATAGGACTAACACAGGAACTCAATAAACCACAAACCAAACATAACACCGAAACACGGGGGGGGGGGGAGGTCTGACGTTGGACAGTAAAGTACACACACGAGAGGATCTGATAGGGTTCACGTAAGACATGGGCAAACACACAAACGATAATTGAGGAATACAACAAATATTAACATTATCAAACAAGGGGCTGAATATAATGTCCCAGCATGCTGAGCGCATCTCGAAGTCGCGAATGAAAAAGGGAAAGTACCGATAGTACCGCAAGAAAAGTACGGTACCCGGTGGTAGAAAAGTGCCCAAAGCTTCCTCGCAGATGAAACTCACTTCCAGAAGTTTCAGTAACTTAGCATTTTTCAGATGTTAAGGGAGGGCAAAAACATTTCTTCAAAATACATATATAACTAAGTTGACAGTGTTCTGTATTTATTTTGACTACCTATTAAAAATAACTAAAATGGGAATATATAACAAACGTAAAGTTTTATCCTGATTTTAAGTGTACCTCACTGTCCCCTCGAACCATTTTATATAGTGTAGTCTATAAATGGATAGAATCAAAAAGTGTTGGCCAAGCAACAAAATATTATTATTATTGTTGGTATAATAAACAGTGTAATTTCTGCAGGTAAAGAGGTTACAGTACAGGACCTACATCATCCCGCTGCTCCACACACTCATCTATGCTGTCTATCAGGTCAGTTTGCTTTCCTATTGTGTGTAAATATGCTGAAAAACTGGCATTGGATGGATGGATGGATGGTTGGTCTTAGGACCTTATTTTGAAATCACCCACATTTCCGGGTTGAAGTTGTTGATAGGGGCACGCATTCTCGTTGAGTCCCCTTGCTTCGTGTCATGGAGTCTCTTAAGAATGGACGTGTTTGCAGTCGAGTTCCAGAATGTTCTCTGGGTCGACAATGAGCAGCCTCAAAGCTACAGTCAAGGTGACTCGTTTGGTTGTGCACTGCAGTCGGTTTACCTTCCTGATGACCTGTGTCAGAGGACCTACGATCTCTGCAAGCAACTGCTGACTCTGCCGCACCCTTATTGCACGATAGGCCTCGCCTATGCCAGGCTAATTAAAATGGAGCAGATCACTCCAGGTACGAAGCCTCTGCCAGATCCCGTCGAAAACACGCTGGGTTGTTGGTGTGTGGCGCACATGACTTGCTTTTAAAAGTTTAAGATAGAATAAATTGGTTCTATAGGGAATAATTCTGGTGGATAGAGGGGTGGGAACATAAAGCACATACAAACATACACAGTTACTAAAGTGCAAAACAGACAAGGTGCAAAGACGACACACACAGCACAAACATTAGAGAACACGGTACACAAACAGAATCTTGAGGAACAGAATATCGGGATATTAAGGAAAAAAAATACTTGCAGGCAATAAATGAGTGATAGTATTACAGATTTCAGATGACAGCAGTGTGCCGTGCACCATTTTCTTTTTTTCAGTGCACTTTCTTGCAGTGGAGAGTCACAATAAAAACGTAGCGTTGTTGAATTTGCATGGCAAATCCCAGCACACTCACAGATGATTTCATTAAAATGTGCGCATCCGCTGCTTCCTCTCTTGTCTCACTGGGTTAAATAATCTTCCTCCTCCTGCTTCCAGGTGCCCTGTATCAACGGCGGATCCTTGCAGAGCAGCGACTGCAGAACAGCAGCTTCTCCTTGCAGGAGAAGTGAGTATTTGCCGAAATGCTGAGCACTTCCACTCTGCACCCTCCGTCAGCCAGGAAAGGCAGAAGGGCTTTTTCTGTTCCTTTTCTTCCTCTTCTCACACTCTTCTCACACATCGGCTGTCCAAACGTCAGCGGTTTCCGTGGCCCCGCTAGCAGGAGAGAGAGGGGCTCTTGGCGTGTGTGTATATACAGTATATGTATTTAGAATTTCGTAATGTATCGAAATGTGTCCTCTGCATTTAACCCATATGTGACATCGTGACAAGGCAGGGGGCAGCTAATTCAGCGCACGCATAAAGTGACAAGTGTGTATATTACACAGACACACAAAGTGCGGTGGGTTTGGGCGTGAATGGAGAGAAAGCTTAGTAAAACCACGCAAGGCCATAATGTCGCCCTGTCTCAGCTCTGAGCACGGCAGAGAACTGAAAGCAGTGTAGCGAATAAGGCAGCCTGTCAAACCTAAACACATGCAGCAGAATGAGTATTAGAATGAACGGGAACAACCTTTATTTCCAATTAATCTTAAAAATGACATAACACTCCTATTTCCCCTCTTCAACAAGCAATGAGGTGCCAAACCACCCCCCCGATGACCTCCCCCCCCCCCCCAAACCAGCCATACAATGATCTTACGCAACAGCACACACACTACAGCACACTAACAATCAATAAGTTAATCAGCAATAAACTTCCTTCAGTCCTTGAGGCCTCCCCAGTGGGATCCTGGAATTTCTCCACTGCTGAACAATCCATGCGGAATCTACCTTCCCACACCGGTGTCTGGGTTGATTAGGCATTTAATGCATCCTAACAGAACAGTCACACAGCGCAGCCAGCGCGCATACATGCGTGTGTGCGTGCATGCATGCACGCACCACTCTCTCTCTTTTCTCCTGCAGCAATTTAAAAGCCTTTCCAATTTTCCATTCCTGATTAAGCACCACCTGCCTTCTCCCGTTCAATCACCAGTTATTCCACAGTAGTATGGTGAATATTCATGTTGCCACATGAATGCCCCTTGCAGGCCTCCTTGTACCGACCGTGCACCGTCTCCTTCACCCCCCAGGGTCTTTGTGTTTGCCGATCCTGCCGTGTTCCCAGACTCCCTTGTGACCGGTGTGGCGGCAGATCTGGAGCCGGAGGCCACATTCCCTGGCGAGCTGGACTCCGTGGGTGCGATGGTGTTGCACACTCTGCAGGCAGCGATGGGCGAGTCCTGTAATGGGGCCGCGCTCAAACAGGCCTTGGAGGTTGGGTACACGGCCGTCGTGGGAACAGAGCGCTGGCCACTAATCTTTGCCGGTTGTGCGGATGTTCCTTTCACACTTCGAAACGCAGTCTTAAAGTTTCAAAAGCCAGGGATTTCGCAACAGCCGACAAGCTTGTGCAACCTCGCATACACAGAGTGGCAGATGTGGAGTGTTGTACTGATAAGACTTGTGAATTAAAATTTTGGTGTATGTGCCACAGATGACTCTGATAACCAGCAGAGAGGAAGTTTTGTTCTTAGTCACTGATGTGTCAATGATGTGTTTCATCTGCAGAAGTAATGAGCTCAGGTACCAAAAGCAGAAATCCGGACCATGATTTTATTTCAACCAACCAGTTGAGCACTCTGTGCATGTGACTCTTTATACTCAACTGGTTGGTTGAAACAAAATCATGGTCTGGATTTGTACTTTCTGGACCTGAATTTTCCACCTCTGTTCGTCTGTGACAGAGCCTTGGCTGCGTGGTGGAGCTGTTCTTTCACAAGGTGGTGTCCACTCTGGCCCAGCACACAGGAGACGTGGCAGCAGACCGCAACAGTTACTGCGCCAAGCTGCAGCGGATTTACGAGGAGATCCTCAGGACAGCCAGGCTGGGTGCGCCAGGGGAGGGAGCGATAACAAAGCCTTAGCCCGCATTTTTCTTGTGAGCCAGTTGTAACTCTGCATTATGATTGGTCGTCAGATGCCTCTGAGGGCGGCCCCTTGTGCAGCTGTTCCCTACCCAACCCGGAGCTGAACTTCCGAATATGGCGGGAAGACAATGAGCTGTGTGAGTGGGCGGAGCCTGTGACAGTTGCCCCTCCCCATTTTTAGATGTCTCTTCACACATACATAGAGCTGCTGTCACAAGGTTTGATTTAATACTTACTGGTGCTGGTTAAAGTGTTCTTTCTGTTCACCAACAGGGGGAGCAGTGATTAAATTCGTCCGGGCAAGCTCACTGAATTACAGCCAGGAGTGTGAGGAACCGCCCACAGCCAGCCTGGGGGGAAGGTCTCGTCAGCTGGTCACGTCCACAGACAGTGGGATCATGCGGGACATAGGGACACAGGATCAGCCGTCTCTGACCCGGAGAGCCGGCCAGCGAAGGAGGCTCACCCAGTCGGACAGGATGGCGCTGATGAGGGAGTCCTTAGAGGAGCCGCACGCCACCACCGGTGCCCCTCTCCCCAAAGACGAGCGGCCTTTCACTGCCCGAATCGTGGTGATGGGAGACGACAGGACCGTCGGCAGATTGGCTAAGGCCTACCACTCTCTCAGGTGCCTTCAAAGTCTGAGGCGGTCAGAGAATTTTAGGTTTAATTGGGGTGGCCCCAGAGGAGGGGTTTGGAAACCAAAGCCATGTTCTTCTATCCACCCAGAAAGATATCAGCTTTTGGGAGAATGGAAGGTCAACGTACTTTTTATTGCATTTCTCTTCATTCACCTATATTCTTTGTCAATATGCACTTACTACTCAGACAAATAGCTTTAAGCATATCCTTGGACTAGTCTTTTGCCCAGTAGTGTATGTTAATAGGAAACGGACAAAAGGCATTTTAAGGAATATCTTGCCGTTTTTAATGAATTCTTTAATGAATTTGTAGGCAGAGGGAGGCAAGATGTCTGTATTTAACTACAAAGGTGAGCCTGGAGCTGTACTACATCCCTGTCAGCAGTGAGTCTCCTGTAAGCCTTTCTGAGGAGGTGAGGATGGCGCCCCCTTGGTGTTGGTATCGCTCATTACACCCACCCATGCTGTTATACAATTTACTCTAGCAGAGGTTCTTACCAGAGTAATATATTACACTGCACAGCCATAGAATGCAGATTATATATATCAAGAGCTTAAACACGGTGCACACCACCCAATATTTGAACCGAAAGCACATTGACTGTCACTGGTACAAATCTGTTGATGATGTTTTACCGTCTACCGCTTTAGGGAAACATTTTCCCCCAAACAAATTTGGCTGTGAGCTCGTACCTGGAAAAGATGGACCCGTGGTATGAGTGCAACATCAGCAGCTTGGGACGCATGATTCCCAAGATGGCGAAGATGGTAAGAGCCTGCAAACACTAAGGCTGTCTTCTCAGTGGACTTAGTGGAGTGCAGAATGGACCGTTTGGGTGTCGTTCCAGCCAGCAAGCCCCAACAGAAGGCGTAAATCTGATTCCTTCCTGCCTGATGTTATTTCCTACTACATCCGCACGGCCATTCAGCCCATCTACCTCACCATCTACTCTGTAAAGGTAACTGCCCCCCCACCTGCCTCTGTGTGCTCAGACGTCTTAGAAATATTTGTATAATATCCTGCACCATCTAGACAAACATTCCTGCTGAGTTTTTCGTACCAATTCAGAATTGCAAGCAGGCAGGGTCCGAATCAGTCATGAACCCCCCCACCCCCCTTAACACACATGGTCCTCCCACAATATTGGCGGCGACACACGTCCCAACCCAAACCTACACTCTTGTAAGAGACCTTCATTTGATCCAATAGAATTTGTGCATTTTTACTGATTCAGAAGTATAGCAGCAGACATTCCATGAGTCTGCGCCAGTGTTTCCCAACCCAGTCCTCGGGGAACAAGGTATTCGGTGTTCCTGATTGGCTGGGAGCTAGGAGGGAGCAAAAACGTGGACTGTCCGAGGTTTCCTGAGGACTAGGTTGGGAAACACTGCTATAGACGGTGCAAACTTTTGCTCCCTCCCAGCTCCCTGCCAGACAGTCCACAGTTTTGCTCCTTCCCAGTTCCTGGAGCAAAAACGTGGACTGTCTGTGGGTCCCCATGCACCGAGTTGGGAAACATTGCTCTGTACTATGCTTGAAATATAGAGTTCCTGCATATCTATCCTGGATCCAGAATACTGATCATGTCTTTCCTTGTCAAAGATCATCTTCTTCAATCCAGGAAGTACTCCCGTGGAGGACGTGTTTGTCTGTCACCTAGAACTGGACTTCCCCAATATCAAAATGACCCATATTAATGGTACCGTAAAGCAATTGCACCTGTGCTTTCATTCTGACCTCTGGCTCAGTTCTGTCTAGCTTTTCATTGGTGGTTGTTTCACTCTCTGTCAGAGGGATCATTCAGGATCACAAGAAGCACAGCAGAGCTGGAAGGAGTGATGATTTCTGTCAAATACAAGAGGGTAAACATTCCATTGAAATATCCCTCCATTCGTGTATTTTGTCTTGATCATGTATATTTCTACATGGAGGTAATGTGGGCTGATGTCTAAATTTGAGATTAATCTTTAACATGTGCAGTTGTCTGTCAGCAGTAGGGAGGAAGACACAGCGGTTTCATTAAGAGTGTTGTCCGCTTTCATTGACGCCATTCCCACTACCGAATCAGAAGGTAATCACAGCATTTGCTAATTTATTATGTGAGTTTTGTGTGAATACTTGTGCTCGAATTCGCCCTGTACCGGTGGCCACAATAACAGCAGGGTCCTGATTTCTGTTTCATGACAGATCCAGATCTCAGCTGCCTCACCGTGAATTTTGGTAACTTTAAAAGCGCACGGGAGGTCTCTGTCAGAACGTGCAACATTAAGATCAGGACTCTGGAGAACAAAGCCTTCTGCGTTTGTCTGGATAAGGATTCACGCAGGACCTTCAAGGACGTTCAGTGGTAAGAATGGCTCAGAATCTGGCTTCAGAATCAATGTTGAGTGGCATATTACCGACAGTCTTAAGGCACTTCTAACCTAACCCTAACCCAGACATGAACTGAGACCACAGACAAACCCTTTATCATCAGTTTAAACCTTGTAAAGGTGGGAGTTCAAGTCACTCTCTCAGTCCTCAGGCAGAATGAACTTGCACACTATATAGTCCTCTGTTCCTGCCTTACATGGGCTGTTCATCAAGCTTTCCTGTCTCGCAGTGTGGAAATTTCCCGTTGCCTCGATCCGGGGTTCAGCCTTCAGAAGCCCTCAAAGCCTCAACCTGCAAATTTCAGTCTGGGGGATACCAAGGATACTGAGGAGGATCACAGCGCCACCCACAGTTTACCGCTGCCATTGAACACTTTCGCTGGTGTAGGTCATTGACTCCGCAGAGGCGGAGGTGGACAGATTTACAATGTTTACAACAGGTATCCCCAAGCCAGGGAGATGGGTGGCCTCCTGCAGTGTGTAGAACACACCAACGCCTGCTCCAACCTCTTCAGACACTTAGCTATGACCTCCTAAGAGCATTGTGTAGACTGAGCTTCCCTTTCGTTTTTGAAAACAGGAAGGTGTAACCTTATTGTGCCTCATCTCAGGACCAGAATGCCCTGACGTACAAGAGCAAGTTCTGTTTTGTCACTGTCGGCTGCTCTTAAACTTATTGTGTCAAAAGACCTGATCTTCTGGATACTCCTAACAGGTGATGAAACTGTCAACAATTATTTGAATGGGGACGGGCGGGTTTTGTTGATACATTCTCTCATTCACTGTCATGTGATATGTATTAATTTTATGTGGTGTGTGTTTAGGAAGGATAACTTATCTTGTAAGGTCTTGAAAAGTCTGTGATCTATATAGTCAACATCTGTGAATGTACAAATGGGAAACTTCGGTATTTATTGCACGAACACTATTGTGTAAATACAAACTAATTTTTAGCTTTGAAAGAGGGACAATTTTATTGAGTTAGACATAACTTGTTGTTTCTACAGATCACAGTTCAATAGAGGTTTGTGCATCCAGTTCTCATTGTTATTGCCTTTTATAGTGATTGTCAGGGGAGACAAGACAGACCATACTGGTCACATGAATAAACTGCTACTGTCTAACTTGCCCAACCTGTTTCCTGGCGGTATTCATATAATATGTATCAACAACAATAATACTGTGCAAACTCTGGCAGTCAAAGAAAATGTGTAAAGCTATTCATCTGGGTAGTAAGTATATATTTACTCAGAAAAAACACACAATTTAACATTATAACACATGCAAATTATCAGTAACACAACAAATAAAGCAAAATTTCTTATTTTCTCCAAAGAGTTCTTCTTGGATGGCTAGATGAACATCGCTTCAGATCCTAAACCTCTCCTTAGGGGCACCCCAGCCTGTACATGTATTTCTTAAATTTCACAATCAGCTTTAATTAATTAGTTAACCCAATGAGCTAGATATCCAGAAAATATTAGTCGGATACTGACCTGTCTTTATCTTTTATTGATTTGTTTTTATTAGTTATATAAACCAACAAATAAAAATAAACTATGGATAAGCTGAACGTTGTGTGTCACACCCCTCATTCCTGCTCCCTGGTGTGGCTCGCCGTTGTCGTTAAATCTTACCTCCCGTTACAGCCCTCGAGCGGTTCACCCCAGCTGCCTCTTGTCCACTCAGTCGCGTGCCCTGCGTCCTTCAGTCCTGCGCTCCTCGTTGAGTCCAATCATTGATGTTACTTCCTGAATGTGCCCTGTGTTCCTGCCTGTTTCGACCCCTCCTGGTCCGTTTCATTTGCCCTGTCTGTATCGTAGTCACCTTTAATAAAGCCCCTTTTGATTTCTCCACGACGCCTGCCGTCCTCGCCCTTGACGTGACAGTGTGCTACTGACCGAGTCAAAAAATACACGGGTGTATTGAATGGTTACTACAAATGTTGGGGTTAAGAGGAGAAGGTTTGAAACTAACACATTGAGAGACATAATATCACAGTTTTACACCAACATGAAGATCACTGAAACATTTTTTCTAAGTGAAAATACTTTTGAACAGTATTGTACATCTAAAATTATTAAAGGCGACATCTAATGGTGGAGGGGAAACTCGTATATGACAATACGACCTTCGTGTACTTCTATTCTGGATACTTTCATTTTAAACTTTTCCACTAGTGAATAGGGACTCAAAGAATTATTTTCAATGGTATTAAAGATCGTACTGTTCCAGATGACCGTTACGATGGGTAAGCGCAGTAATTTAAAGAAACTGAAAGCGAAAAATCGGACTAACACTCACAAGTAGTAAACGGAAGCCTCGGGTGGTTATTTTAGACGACAGCAACTTCCTTCCCCAGGTATTATCTGCATGCCTGCCTATGACGTTGCCTGTCCTACGCATTGATCCGCAGGCGTATTTCACCTGTTGCACATGCGTAGTGCTGATCCCGGCAGGGGAAGCCCCAACCATAATACTGTGCTTCGGAAAAAAACGTCCATGTGTGCGCAGGTGCCCTCTGCTCAGACACAGAAAGATCCATTAAATATGTTTTGGTGAAAGGTTTTAGTGTAGACGCCGTAGGATTTGACTGACATGACACAGGAGGGTCGTTCTGAGGTCCTTTTGAGGTGGTAAGTTTTCCACAAACTGTGACGTGTCAAAAGTTTCGAATGGCATTTGCTTTTATTCGGAAGCGATGTTCCGTTTTAAAAGTTCTCCTTTCAAAGGCTTCACTTTTAACTTGATTTATCGGGCAATAAACGGTGTGCATATAAACGCGTGTGTGTCGGTGCCATTCTATAATTTATTGCGTGCTTTTGACAGCTTGCCGTAATGACTAATTGTTAGTAATATTCGTACGTTAATCGTCATACATATTACCATAAGGATTACAAAGGCGAAATAGTGATGTTCATAGGTGTATTTACAAACCTTTATGTTTGAGAGTTGATGCCCATCCTGTGGGCTGAGACCATATTTTGACAGTGTTAAGTTTCTCCAGGGGAGAGAAGAGGAGGAGCATGCAGTGGGACATCCGAGGAGCGGCAGTGGTGGCCAGCGCCTTCCGCTTCCTGTACGGCTGCGCCGAGGCCTGCCTGCTCCCATTCCTCACCATATACATGCGTCGCCTTGGCCTGGCAGCCTCCATGGTGGGTGTGGTCATGGGCACCAAGCAGCTGGTGAGCCTGGTCTGTGGTCCCGCCTCCGCCTGTCTGGCCAGGCGTCACGACAGGCGGCGGGTTGTGGTTACGGTGTCACTGCTGGGCTCAGCAGCTGCCTGCCTGGTCTTCCTGCTGATTCCCTCTGTCGTCGAGCAGCCGCCAAGTCCCCTCTGTAATGACACCTCGGGGCCAGTGGAGGGTGCTGTGGTTTCTCACGACCTGGGTGACTTCTCCTTTCAAGCCAGCAGTGTCACGCCCAGTCTGAGCTCCGTTACACGACTGTCACTGGGTTATGAAAACACGATATCCTACAAAGCCATGCCCTCAACCACAGTTTCGGTCCCAGAGACCGGTGGTGTGGTGAACATGTCCAGTCCACACAGTCAGGAAGGGCTCTCTACGGAAGATCACACAGAAGATGTAGGATTTGTGGGCAGAAACCCAGAAACAAACGTTTCTTCAGGTCAAAATGCCTCGCAGACCTTGCTTTCTGGGAGAGTATCGCGGTCAGCAGACGCAGTGGAGGAGTGGAATCAGAGACGAGGCGAGTTTCTTGGGGGCCTGAAGGTGATGGACCCTCAGCACCAGCTCTTCTTCCTGCTGCTTTTGGCAGTCAGCCTGTGGGCGGCTCTGACGGCGCCGCTGGACCGGACGGCCACCGACGGATTGTACGAATACCTAGACTTCGTGGATGCCACTGACCGGCACCGAGCGGCCCAGACCTGGGCCTTCCTGGGGGGTGCATTTGGGGCATGTGGTGCAGGTCTCCTGGTCAGCAGCTTGGCCTGCCTGGTGTCCACCAGCCGTGCCATCCACTTCTATGGTTACACCGTCCTCGCTGGTCTTACCCTCCCCACCGTCTTGCTTCTGCCCATGTACAGGCACAAGAAGCAGGAGGCCGCTGGGAAGGCGCTGAAGGCCCTGCGGCTGGTGCGGGGGCACCCCCGGGCGCTGCTCTGTGTCACCACGGTCTTCCTGGCTGGGGCAGCCAGGTCTGTAGTGAGTGACTTCCTGTTCTGGCAGATGCAGGACCAGGGTAGCGATGAACTCCACATGGGCCTCGCCCTCACCCTGGACCTGCTGTCACAGTTGACCTTCAACCTCTTGAGCAGACACCTGCCCCGTTTCCTAACGCCCGGCCGGGCTCTGAGTGCGAGCACAGCCTGCTTGGCCCTCCAGTGCCTTTACGGCTCTTTCTTGTGGGGTCCATGGACGGTCCTGCCTGTCCAGCCATTGGTCGGCTTGGGTGTTGGCGCCCTCTGGTGGGCAGTGCATGAGGTGAGCGAGGACATCGCCACGCCGGGCACAGAGAGACACGTGCTCGGTATATTCCAGCTCATGTCGGCGGGCCTGGGTGCCGGCTTGGGCAGTTTTTCTGGAGGCCTGGTGGTGCAGAGATTTGGCGTGCCGGTGCTCTTCCGCGGCGCAGCGGTGGTATTGGCCCTCTGGACACTGAGCCTTCAAATACTCCAGTACCAGACCCCACACCAGAGGCGGATCAACTATTCCCAACTGCTGACGGCCGACACGAGCGAGGCCAGTGACTCGGAATCGGACCAGGACCGAGACTGGCTGGCGAAAGCTATGGATGACGACAAGACCAACAACAACAACAATTGGTAAAAATCTTGCCTTCAGCTGACTGACAGCTGTTTCCTGCTGGATAAAAAGCTGCACTGTAAATGACCAGACTTCCCATTAAAAAGACGTTTCAGTGGTATGGATGAGCCTCGTTCTCGTAAATCCAACCACGATAGTGTTATTGGTGCAATGATGACTGTTTGAGTTCCGTTTTCTGTTTGTCATTTATCGAGCACAAAGTGTGTCCTTTGTCTCTCTACCTTGTGTGGTGATCAATATGTCACATTTTTGGATGGAATATTATGGGCAAACATTAAGGCACACTAAGAAAAATTATAACCGAAATTTGCAATGTGAAGTTATGGCTTTCATGCTACATGCTAGTCTGACTTATTGACAGTCAGGTACCTAATGGTTGATACCTGAAGAAATATTAATTTATGAAATACTTTGTAATGCCTGAATTCAGATTAGTCGTGTTTGTCAATAATGGTCTTCGGAAATATGGCACTGTAAATACATGGGTGTGAAACACTGGGGGGGGGAGGTGTTGGGCTCTGGGGGGGTTTACCTAAGAAAATGTGAATGGACTTTTCCCCATGGCTTAAAATTGAAGGCCATGTTTGATTGTGAGATTTTTCAAGGCCTGTATTTGAGATTGTTTGGAAAACACACCTTTCAGGTGAAATATGTTGATGTCACGCTGTATTTGTTTCCTTTATAATCTCCCTAAGCTGGTTTATCAGTGAGTGATTCCAATCTGTTCACTGACTCCCTGGACATGTAAAAGACAATGAAGGTCTTAATAAACATCAATTACGAAAATTGCTACAAGCCACGCTGGTGACTTCAGTGTCCAACATTTTTGCATGAGTTATTCTCATTATGTTAATAATAATAATAATAACAATAATGTGTAGTTTACAGAGAAACTACACAAAAAACCAGATAACACATTATGCACTGGGAGGGTTAAATGCCTGAGCAAAAAGAAAGGTTTTTAGCTTGGTTTTAAAATCTGAAACAGAGGTCGATAAACGGATGGCAGTAGGGAGTGAGTTCCAAAGGTGGGGAGCTAAACGGGGGAATGCACGGTCACCATAGCGATGTAATTTGGAAGGGGGGATGAGGAGTGAGCCAGTAGGGGGCTGGTAGGGTAGAAGCAGTTCAGCAAGGTATGATGGGCCTTGGTTATGAAGAGCTTTGAATGTCAGGAGCAGCATTTTAAAGTGGATGCGCTCTTTTATAGGGAGCCAGTGCAGGCTCTGCAGAATGGGTGTGATGTATTGGTAGGAACGAGTGTGAGTAAGGAGGCGGGCAGCAGAGTTCTGAAGATTATGGAGAGATTTAGCAGAGATACCAGCGAATAGTGAGTTACAGTAGTCAGGACGGCTACAGATAAAGGCATGAATGAGGGACCCGGCAGCAGAGTCTGAAAGCTATGGCCTAATATGGGCGATGTTACGGATGTGAAAGTGAGCTGTTTTTACTGTGGCACGTAGGTGTGCGTCCTCACCATATGTGAGAGGGTTGGGTCAAAGGTGACACCAAGGTTGCGGACCAGAGGAGAGGGAGAGATGGTAGTGTGGTCCAATTTGAGGGTTATCGGACTGATTTTGCCAAGTGTGGATTTTGTCCCAAAGACAGAGATCTTAAAAAGACATTACATCCAGAGACTGGTAGGGGGCAGTGTGTGGCTCAGACAGCTAAGCCTCTGTGACCAGAAGGTTGCTGGTTCAAGCCTGATCTCTGCACATGTGCAGGTCCTTGAGCGAGGCCCTTAACCCCCAGCTCCCTGGGTGCTGCTATGGGTGGCTGCCCTTCACTGCCAAGCTTGCCCTCACCTACAGAAAGTTGGGGGAGGCGTAAAGGGAATTTCCCCACTGGCATCATTATTCTAGAAATACAAGTTAGCTTTTTCGCTGCTTGGTTTAAGGCAAATGTCATGGTTACGACGGTTCCCGCCGATTACCAGTGTTTGGCTTTTTGGCGTTGATATCTCCCCCTAGCTGTGACAGGGTGTAAATGCTATACATGCTGGTCATGGCTGCCCCTCTCAGTATTTCCGCTTTAATGATTTAAGTTGAGCCGTGTTACTTCTGTCCTGGGTTCTGAAGTCTGCAGTACATCTCCAATCTCTAGGGGTTCTATGCCTCATATGCCCCAGCCTGAGACAAAGAGCAAAACTAAAAGTATTTTATCTTTTGTGAAGTGACAAAGGTGATAAGGAGACCGCAGTTCAGATCACATCTGCGTACTGGCACCTCGTGTGAAAACCGCACGTCTTGCATAAACGTACATACATGTCATTCTAGTTTTTGTGAAAACTTTGAGCGCAATATAATGGTAATGTGCTATAGGTACACGTCAATTGGTGACATTTTCTAAGTGCAAAACTGTTTTTCGAGAATCCACGCTAGATGGCGCTCATAGCTCAGATGGTTCGCCAGAAACCCGGCAGCCCAGGCTCGCGGACGCCGAACGCATGAGAACGTGCCCGCTTGTCACATTGCTGTCCTCGTGGCTGTCCATCAGTGATGGCATTGTAATTAGCATCCGACAGTCTGGAAATCGGTGTGGTTTTTTCGATAAGAAAACGGGGAAACTTTTTTTTTTGGTCCAAATCTGTCATTCCTTGGAGTAAACAAGATATGGAAAAACAGCGTAAATCACCGAAGCGACGTGAATCTGTGGAGTCCAGGAACGGACTGGGGGGTTCCGCCAACACAGGTAACGAGCGAAATGCACAGCAGTGATATGGTATAACATTTTTTACAGATTTCATTTTAATGGTGCGAAAAGCATAGGATTGACCATTATCGTCTGTATGCAAATAAATGAATCTCAATTAACTCTGACATATGATTTCATACGGAATAATGGAAGATTAACTTTTTTGCATGTAACTAGGTTTTTTTTTAAACTTGAAATAAAACTTTTTTGACGAGTTTTAAGTCTAATAACGTGCTTTTTGATGTGAATGCATCTTCATAATATTTTCTGGGTTGCATCTCAAGGCTGTGTAATAAATAGAAAAGACAGTGTCCTGGGATTGGCATTATAGTTGTAGTATTTCAAAGGAAAATATGTTTTTATTATGAATTAATCTGCTGTTGAAGAGATAATAGCCATGCTTCAAAAACTAATTTCTCTATTGAGGCAGATTTATTCCCGATTAAAATTGCGTGAAGTACTGATATTATATTGTACGCGCTGACAGAATAAACCATTTTATATCACATTCTGTACTTTCAGCTCTCGCGTCGTCAAACCAGATCTTGTAACGTGAGAGATTACCTACGCTTGCGTAAGCGTTGATTGTGTGTGTGTGTGTGTGTGTGTGTATGTGTGTGACCGCGCGCATGTATGTGTCCTGTGATGCACTGACATCCCATCCAGGGTGTACCCCAGCCTTGTGCCCTATTGCTGCCAGACTATCTGCTGACCAGCAGAAACGGTTCGAAGATGGATGGATGCATGAGTGTCGATTTCATATCCGAAATGGTAAAATGACTGAGCGACGTACGTTTTGTCATGATGCTATGAAATACCGCCTTTTGGCTAAATGGTGGCCGGCTCTGTGGGCGCAGCGCGTAGTGCGAAAGCGCAGGACAATGAGACACAGGTTTGTTTCCAAGACAACGCGGCATGTTTAGTCCTCAGAGGGATTCTCATTTCTACGGAGAAAAGGTTTTTTCGTTTTAGGGGTTTAAGTTTGAATGCCAAAAATGGACTGATCTCAGAGTGTATCCACAGCATATTATCATCTTAATGGATTTTGCCAAACCATTAAATTATGGGGGGGCTGATATGGGTGCTGGTCACAGCCACCCCCCCATGCTTAAACTGAAGTTATGCTCTTGGACAAAACATATGAAGGCATGTAAATTTTGTTCCACCAAAATATAATTTAGTTTCAAGCTGTTCTTTCCCAAATGGTTTTCAGGTTTTCGCCCCTCCTGACTATTTCTCTAATCTGCCGCCTGGAATTGGTCAGTGATGCTCGGTGACACAGAGCGTAAGATCCTGTCTGAGTTCATTCGGAGCGGCCTTTACATGAGAGGTCACGAAGTCGTTAATGAGCCAGGCGAGTTTTCTCTCAGAATGTGCACCTTCAAAACAAACCAGCACAGCAATTCAGGCAGAAACCTGCAGGGCAAAAGAGTGGCCGCCTTTCTGCAATATGGCATGTCTGATCATCTGTCAGGTTCACCTCTCAGCTTCTGTTACCCAGGGCTCTCCTATGCAGAGTACATGCCCGTTAGGAAATTGCGTAATAGCAGTTTTGAAAAATGTATTTTATCGCAAATACAAAACACCACCGGATAAAGTAACCCGTCGAGTGTTCCGCCATACAGTCGGCAACAGGCAGCACGGCTGACTGTCTCCATGGCGACGAGTCGCGGCGCTGGACCATTTTTGCCCTTGTGGCACCAGAGATGCTGCTCATACCCAGTGCAGGAAGTGAATCTCATTCAGTTTTGAAAGGCGTGCAGAACCGGGGTAGAAGCGTACTGTCTCTTTAAATTGAGAGAGGAATGGGAAGCAGCAGGTAAGGTCTGTCTCTGAGGAGGGGTGGGGCCCCGCAGCGTCGCCACACAGGTTATGGTACCCAGTGCTGATCATGTGATCACATGCCCCACCCAAAATATTAAGGATACATTTGTTGCATGCTCACCGAACGAGGCAATACTTTTGTCCATATAGTATATTTTCCCACTTGTATTATCTGGGCAAGTTTACCTTTTGGGGGGTGGGGGACGGTGCACCTCCCTAACGATGGGTCTGGGTTGGATAAGGAGAGGTTGAACGAACTCTGCGGTCTCCTGTAAGACCATAGAGCAGCCCTCAGGGACTGTAAGAATGTTCCTTTCCTTGCAGAAGGAGAGGATGTCGTTTCCATGGCTGACTCGTCCATCACCATAGAGGACCTCGAAGGGGAGCTTTCGAGAATCAACCGGATACGGGACCTCCTGGTCAGGAGGGAGTCGGAGCTGAGATATATGTGAGGACCAAACCTGTGTGACCTCCTTATTGAGCCCCCCCCCCACCCCCAACTTAACTGTCAAATTTCACTTTGTTTCCAGCATCTGCGTATATCGCTAAGGGCCTCATACGATCCTTAACGGAACACATGCTAACTAATGCTGTGTGAACTTTCCATGCATTGGGACTGAAGGGTACTTCTACTGTAAGTTAGGGTTAAAGTTAAATAAATGTTTTTCATTATGTCCTGTAGGATGGACGACATCCAACTCTGCAAAGAAATCACACGACTGAAAAGGGAGCTTCACAAATTGGTGTCTGCCCCAGGTACTGCTCGGCGATGAGGGCGAACGTTTGGGGAAGGCAACGTGGCCGTTTCTGCTGCGGCTTCCTGTCTGGTTTACACATCACAGTGCCATGAAAAACAACACGGTGGAATTTGTTGTAGAATCAGAGGAAGGTGTTGCATTGAAACTGTCAGAAATGCTGCTTTGGACTGCGGCTTACAACTGCAATAAAAAAACCAAATTGTCTTTGAAAAAGGTCTCTGATTGGAACGGAACAGCATGAAACGTGCAGCTGTTTCTGGGGAGCAAAATATTTATCTTCTTTTGAATGAATTTTACTCCCATTCTTCAGCTGTGGAAAAGCTCGATACTCTGACCTCATTAGAATGAAAGCACTGCATGTTCGTCGTGACATGATCACACGCAGCACTTAATGTTGATGATTCAGTCCCATCCGCAGCGACGCACCCTCTTGCATGTCGATATGCGGACCCTGCTGCAGATGCAGAGAAGTCCAGTGAGGACAGGGAGAAGGAGACGGAGCTTCTGTGGCAAATCCAGAGACTGGTGGAGACCAGGGACTTCCTGGTGGATGACGTGGAGCTGGAGAGGCTAAGGTGGGACTTCTTCGCCATGACCATATGGCTGTTGGTTCAATTCCCACGTGCAGCCTGGATGATGTACTCTTCAGGAAGTCGAACTGACCGCATGAATAGGTAAAAAAAACTGCGAGTAGTGTAATTTGTTTTGCATAAAAGCATTTACAAGTCTCCCGCAGGGAAAGAGAAGAGGACAAGGAAATGGCAGATTTCCTGCAATCCAGATTCCCAAGGAGCCTGATGGGAAAAGGTGGGTCTCTTCATCTGTGTGGCTCATTCATGGGTCTGCAGTGCATGGACATTTGTTTATTACATTTACAGGCTCGCCGACCTACGGACAACTCATACTTACCAACGGTCATAAAATAATATTAAAATTTCCGTTTAAACAATGGCTCGTAATAACGAACGTAGGCGCTACTTTGTGACGCACATGAAAACATCGCGCAGCTTCAGTCGTTCGGCGACTTGAGGTACAGAACAGTACCGTATCGTTACTTTTATTATTACTGTATAATTATTATTATTACTCTGTTTTTATTTTTCTGACTTACCTACAAATTCGACTTAAAGACAGACTCATTCATAACCTGGGGACTGCCTTTATGTACGTACTCGATTAGCATACTAGGGCTCTAATGGTTGGATGAGAAATGCCATGTGACTGTTTCCTTTATGCCCTGCCATAATAACCTGCAGATTAACCTGCTTTAACTTTAATCTTGCTTTATCAGGGCCAGTGCTATTGTACTAGTAAAGGGAGATATACTGTGTCGTCGTTATTGTGCCAGAACCTTTGGTTCACATGGTTTCCCTGCTGTTCTCTGGGCAGGCATCTCCCCCAGCGGGGCGACGTCCTCCAAGGAGCGTCAGTCCTCATCCCCGTTGGTTCCCAAGACCGGACTCACCCTGCTGAAGGAGTGCTGCGGGTTCAACTGCACGGTCATGTAGGGCGCCGGTGCGCTGCAGGAAGCCGCAGTGCTCACATGGGACCGTGACAACCTCCTCTGCTGATAATCCAACCGGTGCCGTCATCTTTATATCTGGCGTCTTTTGATTGGCAGAGGACTTGTGAAGACTGACACGCTACAGTCCAGCATTTGGAGGAAGATGCATCAGCGTTGTACTGATGATTCATGGAACCTTGATGGAATCGTAGACGCATTGAGAGGTTCCGGCGTAACCCTGTTTACGCCTCTTCCTCATTTCTCCAGTGAAGCCTCAGAAATTTCATCACACTGCAGGTGACCCTTAGCTATAAACAAACCTGAGCTTCTCAATAACAAACTGCAAACCTGCATAATTATGAATCGAAGACCTTTACTGGGGACATGCCAGCATCGAGAGTCTGACTGTGCGCACGGCGGGGACGCCGCTTTAACCCAGCAGCTGCTTGTGACCTTGAGATGCCCTCCACGGGTCCACCAGCTCCGTATCCCACTGACCCTCTGCGGTGCCAGGCTACGTTATGCAGAACCTTCAGCATCCGGGCACCATACAGTGCGTGGAGATCTGGAAAACCACCCCGATAACAGACAGACTGCCTTTCAGCATGGTGGCCATACAGGATCTCCCGACGACAGCCCTGCTTTCCTATTGGTCGGTGCTGGGATCCCACAGTCTGCTTCATTACAAGCACCTGAAGCCCTTTTCCTGTATCATACTGTTTTGAATGATTTTTGATTGAATGAATTTGAATGGAGAGGCAGAAGGAACAGGCATTAAATTTGGACATTTTTCTGTGCATCTGTATTTAACGACCCACAGTGTTCTAGCTTCTTTTGCGAAAATCTGATTTGTCTGAAGTTCTGTCGTAGTTCACTGTCGGTGCACCAGCTGGTGGTTTCTAACCTGCTTTTGAATGAATTAATAAGCATCACTTCAGTACTGACTGCACAGTCGGATTGTATTAATCTGCTAGTCTCTCTCCTCTTGTGAATATTTTCTGTGTTATTTCAGAGGGCAGACGGCAGCATCTGATATTTTGAATCGGTTGCATCTTGAATAGCATTGCAATTTGAATAGCATCTCCATGGTTACCGACCATTACAGTTATTTCTGAGCGTAACGTAATGTTGGAGTTCTGTAAAACGAACAAAAGCGTCATAATTTACCAAGCTACACTGTGGCGTTTCTGAATATCCTGACCTTTCAAATACATACAGATGCCACCCTGCGTCGAATGAATAAATAATTCTTTCTAATTGTGTGGTTATAAATCGCACATTTGTTTCATACTTTATCATTTTCTTACCACAGTCTGAAGCACAGTCACAGAGCTTTCGGGGGTTTCAGATTGAAGTTTAATAATGAGCTCCCTGAATGTAGCCTTCAAAAGGTATTTGGCCCTATTTGCATGCTAACTGCAAGTCATGTAAGCACCTGTGAAGCAACTGAATACTAAAACTGTACATGGTGTGAAACTAAACACCAATACCTGTTTGCATATATGCTGAGATTGTTCGTGCAGATATAGCCAAGCAATAAGGGGCCTAATCTGCTAATGTCTGCATGCCATGCACTGCTTGTGTGATACGGATGACAGATATCGCTGTCTGGGGACGAGGTACTGATGCTGCAACTTCACTTCAGTCCAATTTTAAGAATATCATAGACAGCCAGTGTCAGATATTGTCATGACAACAATCCAGGAAACTAGCTGTGTGGTATAGAGCAAAGACAGAGGAAATTCATAGGTGCTGTTTCAGTGTCCTAAATGATCATGTACCATCTTTCACCATCCAGACAGCATTCCGTCCAGGATGTACCCCAGATTTCATTGTGCCCTATGCCTCCTGGGACAGAATCTACCTTTTGATCCTTTTTAACTGCTAAAAAGGTCTCAGCCATTTTATACTAAACCAGATCCAACCCTAACCGTACGTTGCACAAAGCGTCAACAACATTTATTATGAATGAATTTTTTCCCATCAGAGTGCTGCTTCAATGAGCTTAAAGGCCGAACGTGCAGAACTAAGAAATGAACTTAGGACAATGATTTACAATTTAGAGGAATCCCGCTGATGTATGTAGCTAACTGATGCCTTAATTAATTTATGCTGCTGGTGATCTTTTCTAAACCTTAATCGAGTGAGTCCATTTTCACGTGTACCAGGGGTGTTTCTAAGAATTGAAAAAAATTCAGGGGTTAAGTCAGGTTCACCGAGGGCTTGACTTTTTTTATTTGAAGAAAGACATCAGGGGTAAAATACTTGGGGTTATAGCCCCCAGCGATCGGCTCTACACTCTCAGAAAAAAGCCTAAAAATCTCTACCTTTGCTTGTCACTGGGTCTGTACCCTCAAGGGTCTGGCAATTGCGCTCTTAGCTGTAGGCAAATGTACCTTTTAAGGTACAGAAATGGACTCCAAGGAACATTTCTGTACCACTGATGGTACATTAATGCTGTTTGTACCTTTGACATGTTACTCAGAGTCCATTTCTGTACTTTAAAATGTACAATTATAAGGGTACAGCCCCAGTGACAAGCCAAGGTACAGATTTTTACCCTTTTTTTCTGAGACTGTAATGAAGGCCGTAGTGTGTACAGTGGGTTTCAGATAGACGTGTCGATAATGGTTATAAGGGTTTCTTGTCCTGAGATTCTTGATCAGTCATTACCAGGTTACCTCAGTTCAGGGTCAGATCCATATTCCCCTGGAGACAAGTCACTCAAGATTTCATAAGGACAAAGACAAACTATTAACCACAAATAGTGTTGTGCTACGCACTTAAAAACTGCTTAAGGATAAAATAGTTTACGTAGACCTGGTGAGGCTGCTCATCACCGACTGTAGGCAGTGTGAAAAATGCTGCCTTTTGAAGCATCGCATCGACATCAAAAAACAAGGAGGAATGTGCAGGGAATTTCTGATAAGCAAACCATTATTCCACAGATTGTCGCGGTTTTATTGATGCTCCAGTAGAGGGCGTGGCAGAGACACAAGCCAGCCTGTCTGTGCTAAATTGCGCCTGGGTAGAGGTATGACAGTGATAATGAGCACAGAAGCACAGTGCACATAAGAATTTGGAGGAAAAAAAAGCATTCACCACAGAGCTATTTAAATAAAAGATGGAAATTTGAACTGAAATACTGTACTTTCCCCACATAATGCATAATAGAGATGATATAAAAATGCGTCAATCTAATTGTAACGAAGCACAAACGACCAGACTGAAGACGTGTTTTTCGAATATTGTGAGAAGATCCAGTTCTCTGGAAAAAACACTATTGCTTGGAAGTGCTGAAGGGTGATCTACAAGATGGATGGCATCAATTGACACAGTAATGAAAAGCAATTGGGAGGAATGAAGACCCAGAAAGATTTTCACAAATATTCTTTATGAGAATATTGTGTTGTTTTCATTTCACTCCCCTGTACGTCCTATGTGATTCATCGGCTTAATAATTCATAAATGTAATTTCTGTTTGTTCTTGATATTCTACTGACCTCTGCTGGTGATGCAAAATAACTTTCTACTTAAAGTTACATCAAAAGTGTTATAAAAAGTTGATATACATACAATGAACAAAAACTGTCGAAAGATAATGTCCGACTGCAATGACACCGACCAAAATGTTCAATGTATCAATGTATTGTCTATTACTTACATTATAGATGTCGTCATTTTTCTTTTGAAGGCTGATTTTGAAGTTTGTCAAACCTTAACGCGCCGACCCGTACAGACATTGGTCTTGCAGATGATAAAATTCAGTACTACATTTAAACAATTACATAAATAAACTGGGAAAAGCTGAAAATGTGATATAAAATTGAAAAGTAATGTAATTCTAACGGCGCTCTGAATTTAAGAGGCGATATTTTAGTGTTTGTTTCTTACATTAGGGGGCGCTGTTATAAAAATACGCCTTAAGAATTCAGATGGAGTCAGCAAAGTCCCTGTATATGTATATGAATGAATGGATATGTTAAGACGTTCGTTTTCAGCCGTTTTGCTGCATTTGCCGAGAGACGGCAAACAGCATATCATAGACGAAACAGAAGCGTTTTGTACACCTCCAAGTTCATTTTTGCAAATTTCAGTCTATTTTTCAACTAAGCTTGTCGGAATGACATCACCTTTCCCGGTGGCCGCCACTTAATTTTGAAACAAAATCCCGTTAACAAGGAATCCCAAAAGTTATCCACAATTACACGTTATTCTTGTTGCACTTTTATTATTTTATCCGCTTGCTTCCTGGCAGCGTTATGACTGTCGTGCGAAATACAGTTACTTATTAATATAATCCAGTAGGTGTGTCTGCGTGTGGACGTAGAAATATAGTATTGCTAGAAGTGCGTAGAGCTGTCCATGTACAGCACACGCCTGTGGTCTTACTTACTTTCGCACTGTCAAGATGAGAGCCATTCTAACCGTCTTATATCTATGTGGTCACGGTCCCGGTAGGCGGGAGTAACGTGGGTCGGGTTTGTTCGATTAAGGAGGAGCCCAGTGCTGGGGGGTGTAACTTCGGAGTTTGGGGCAAAAAGGGAGTAGAGGTGGGCTAAGGAAAGGCATTGAGTGAAATCAGATCAAGAGGAGCATTCATTTATTTAGGAAGTTGCCCTGGTTTGTTCGTAAATTGCATTGGGTAAGTTGGGAGCCTATTTTTAAGAATCCTGCTGGCTAACGGAGGACGCTTAGCTAGCTTGTAATATTTTATTTGTGAAAACGCGAAATTACAAATGTCAAAACAGTAAAATTTGGAATTGAACACGTAATTGTTAATGTTCGTTTCTGAACATATGCTGGCAGTCATGGAAAGGTAAAATTTTCCATACCTGTCAGCCTTTGTAAGCTAAATGCGTGCTTGATTGTGGTTTAACATCATCTGGTCCCTTACCAAATTTAGCTGGGTGGCAGCCTAGCCTGCTGGTCCATGTAGCTGTCACCTATGTCATGTAATAGACGGTGCCTGCCGATGCAATACTATCGGAAGTTATCTTACAGACGTCGCTTAGATAGGAGCTGCATGCAGATGCATATAATACTCAGGAACAGTTATTTTGTTTACTGTTATAGTTAACTAAGACGCTGTCATTCTTTAGTTAGCTTACCAAGATATCCAGGTTAAACAGCTAGGTGTATTGCATTGCAAATTTATTGTTCTGCGCTCTGTGGCTAAAAGGACAATGAAATCTCGACTAACACCGCATGTTATTGTAGTCTGTATGAAACGCGGCAGCTCCGCCGCGCTGTAATATTGTGCTGCAGTGCATCTGCGGTCCCTTAACCGCGTCTTACGCTGCTGCCGCTTGGCACTGCCTATAGGCGGGTCTGCAGTGCCTCCCTGCAAACATAACCAGTACAATAATAAGATGGAAAAACCGCAAATGCTTTTGGATACCAGAGCCTATCTGCGGAAAACGCGATCAAGCTAAATAGGGAGGATTTTAACCAGGAAAACAAATACGAAGCATCATTTATTTGAGTAAATCCGGCTGCGAGAACACACAACTGCAGTACGTATTACCTGGCGACATGGTTATTATACTACCGGTCTGATATGGACGGTCAGGTAATCTCTGTGCCACAACATAAATACAACTAAACCGTCCAGGTTTAACATATAATTTACAGTTCAGCGAGGCGATGAGCAGCTCAGAGATACTGTCTTTGCACAGCGTGTCCAGGTCCCGATCCCACTGTGCTGCAAGGGGGAGATTCATTTTTCGTTTTGATACTGCTTAATCTGACTGGTGTCAAGGTGGACTGTACCTATTATAATGTGTTCTGCTAATAAAGTGCGGAGGTCATAAATAAAATTATGAAATTAGAAAGACATCAGACATTGATACTGAGATAATATGATACTTAAGGGTAGAATTTTTACCTGTTGAAGTGAAGAATTATCAATTCAGCATAAATACACGCACACACCCATGCACACATTCATCATTATTGTTCCCAATATGTAGCATTTATTTTACTGCAGTTCTTTAAATATTACAGTATTACCCTAAAGAGAGGAATTTATTCTCTGGGTTGGTGAAATGTCAAACGATCGCTGTCGCTTTACGCATTCTGAAGTAGTTTTTAAGATTAGTGGCGATGATAGATGTTTTATTGAGTGCCTGGTGCTTCAGACAGCTGAATGTGTGTCTTGTTGAGGCAAATGAACTATGTCAGCCGTATTGTGTGGGTTTTGCGAGCTCTCGGATAGCTGTTATGTGTTCGAACAAAGTACTTAAACCAGTTTGAGTTATT